TGTTGCTAACAACCTGATGGGTTGTTTCTCTACATCCCTGGACCCCGGGATGTTCAAACATCCACCGTCACAAATGCCCATAATAAACCAGCAGCTTTTCCCACAGTCCTTGGGGGCACACCTCCCTGCCTACCCTGGAGTCTCCGGCCACCGGGAAGGCACCAGGCAGACTGACCAGCAGTACCTGCCTGTGGCTTTGCCCTCATCCCTGACCCCTCCAAGGAGAAGAAGAAAGAAAAATGGGGGGACTCAAAATGAACCAGTTCCCAAAACACAGTACAACCCACCATTAGCAAAGTAGTCTGGGAGTATAGTATCCCTCAGCTGTCCCCAACAGCTGCCCCCACCCACCAGCTGTACCCCCCTTTGTCAGACTCAATGCTATTCCAGGCAGCTTCCCCAACCCTGTCAGGATTTTGACAGTGTGGTGGGATTACATAGAATTAACCAGAAAAGGAAAACATCTATCCCTATGAAAGCCATGGCTGAGGCATAATCCAATGAAACAACAACAATAGTGACCCTCTGGACCTTTTCCCGATCTGTCATACAATTCCTGCCTACACCCTTCCCTCGGGAGACATGGTATCTGAATCTTCAAGGCTACAAGTTCCGTGAAGAAGACCAAGTGTTTTAGGAGGACAGCAGCTTCTATGGCCCCTCAGATGAAAGCTGTGGCTGGCACTGAGGGCACCACCAGGTGAGCCTCTGGAATCCTCCGGGGGGCCCAAAGGTCTCCTTCATGACCTGGTGACCGGAAGGGCACTGCTGCTTCTGGTAGATCTGTGTGTGCTGTTTCTTGCCTTGGAATTTGTCCCGAAGCCAGTCTGAACTGAACTCCACCACGTGATCCACGAGGGCCTCCAGAGAGGAAGAACTCAGGAGCGAGCCGAGAGAGAGGGGATGGATCCCTGCTCTGTACAAGGCTTCATTCTTTATAATGTTCCCTGAAAACAGAGACAGACATGAGGGTAGGAAACACTGTCTACATAACCTCACCCTCGCTATGGGGCCCAGGCTAGCCTCCTGGTCTTCCTGCCTCAATCTTCCAAGTGTTGAGTTACGTATGTGCCACCACGCTGGCTCGCAATCCATCTTAAGTTAGGATGAGTGGAGTCCAGCTTGCTGGGCCACTGAGCCATGACCTTGCTAAGGAGAGGAGAGTAAGCTAGATGACACATGGTAGCGATAGATGAAATAATTGTGGGTTTTTTCCCCCCAAGAGTTTCATAATTGCACTTCCAGTTACAGGTTCTCTGCAAACTTGAGGGGCAGGCTACCTGGACTCAGCTGCACCCTCACCAGCAAGGTGCCCTTTGCTTTAGTATGGTGATATTTTATTTGTGCTGAAATGTGATTTTATTTGTATGTTAATAAA